AAAAGCCACATTCCTGGACTCTGTGTTGCTAAGTCTCGGCTTACGCCTCGACTTAGCAATCTTCACAGTCGTCCAAGAATGTTAAGCTTTTCCTACCCGGTAAACAATGTACTATTTCCGCAAATCGCCAGGAAATTTTGACATTCGTGTCAAAATTTATTGAAGAAAAAGTCAGTACTTTCTTACTGTAAGGAAATGATATTTCCGTACAGCTGTTAGTGTTCTACATAAATGATAGAAAACACATTGCTTATAAGGAATTAATTTATATTTTGAAAACATCACGTCATTGCTGAATACATTTTTAAGATCAATTTGTTATATTTGCAGTTATTTGACAGTTAGTACAATTATTGAACATTGGAGGAACACTCTTAGAACTATGAGAAACATTTTGGACAACATGCAGGGTGGAAGTGTCATTTTGTTGAATATTTTGTACTGTGAAAATTTTATTTGCCACCTCAACCTTATTGTTAAGCGATTCTTCGATATATCCTTCAGCAATGTTTGATGACTTCCATCCGCCATGCCTCTTTAAACTAGTTATGTCGGCACCAGAGACAACCAATATTATTGCAGAAGACCGATGAAAGCAGTGACCAGTATATTCTGTCGGATTTACCAAGTTCAAACAAGTAGCAATTATTTTGGGCATTTTTCTAAATTGATGAATTCCTACCACTTGTCTACAACCCTTTCCGCTTTGATATTTAAAGAAAAATCGGTCACTGTTCATATTTTCTGGTCTTAACGAAATATACTTTCGATAAACATTCAAGTAGATCTGATTAATTACAAATAATCTTGGTTTGTTGGTTTTCGAATCAGGTATGCTGATTAAAAGCTTAGATTCTAAGTCTTCTATATCGTGTACAGTCATTCGGACTAACTCATCCATTCTACAGGCCCCAGAAATACCAAATATTACAGCCACCTAAAAAATAAATAAAGCTATAATCTAAATAGAAATTAAAACCTTGTAAATTACCTTAATCATTAAATTTTCTTTATCTGGAGCTTCCTGGATAAAGTTTTCAATTTCTTCCTTCGTTAAAATCTTAGATTTCTTTGCCCTATAACCTTGAGCTTGCCGTTTCAATAAAGAACGAAGTTTTGAGGATGTAGATATATCTACATTGTGTTTAAGTGCAAGGGTTGACTTCAGAATTGAATAATTGGCCCATAATGTTGAAGATTTCATCTTTAAACAAAGGTCTAGGAAGTATGCCATTACAACATTTTCTGAGAAAGAACTCGTATTTTTACTCATGCGATAACCCATAAAACGTCTGTATGCATTTTCGTACTTTTCTCTTGATTTCTTTGGCAATAATTCTAATGAAGCAGTATTCACTGCCTCAACCAGCTCTGGAGGAGTCCCAGGAATGGAAATTTCATCATCACTTATCATTTTACTTTCCAGAACACCAGCAATTAAATTTATAAGCGTCAAGTTTGACAATTCAACCTCAATACGTTTCCATAGTAACCCAAGTAATTTTATTAGGAATTTCAAAGCACCATTTATTTGGGAATAAAATTATCGCGTTTTTTTTAAATCAATCAATATCTGTCGAATTTTAAACGATTTGCGGAAAAATAGTATGTTTACCTCGTAGGAAAAGCCACATTCCTGGACTCTGTGTTGGTAAGTCTCGGCTTGCGCCTCGACTTAGCAATCTTCACAGTCGTCCAGGAATGTTAAGCTTTTCCTACCCGGCAAACAATGTACTATTTTCAAAAATTGTAATCTGTATAATCAACTGTAAGAATTCACAAAATGTTTGTATTTTTAAAACTGCTATGTAAATGTAAATGTGCTATGTGTATAAAAATTTTTTTCCAAAATAAATATAAACCTCCCAGCTAGGGGTTGATTAAGATTTGAAATGAAAAAAATGTAAGGTTTTTGTGTATTATATTTATCAAAGCGATCCACAGAAAAATTCACATTATTTTGAATTAAAGCACTGCAAAATATCTAAGAATTATTTATTATCTAAGCGTTTGTATTTTCTCTGGATAATAAACATAAATTTAAATAGAGCTTTTTACGTTTACAACCTCGTTCAATATCAACTAAGTTTACACTTATGTCCAAAATTAGAAATAAAAAATTCAATACTATTTATTCAGAATATGACAGCTTCTTCCAAATCCTTGCCTTGCACTTCCTGATAGCACGCGATTGGAATGTCAAAACTACTCTTTGGGGGTTATGACTAACTACAACGAAAGGTACAAATATACATCGATCATTACAAAAAAAAAGGATTAATTCTTTTTATCCACAAGGCAACTAACATACTGACCAGCAGATAACAACAAAATTCTGGATCTGCTAGATTTTGCAATATTTAAAGGTTTGCCTAACACACATTTTAAAAATAGAACCTAGTTTTGACCTAAGTTCGGACCACAGCTCCATAATAATAACATTAAGCACAACTATAATATAAATCAACAGCTATTAAAACTCTCTAACAAAAAAACAATTTGGTAACACTTGTTACCAAATTGTTACACTTGTTTGGTAACACATTTGAAAACACTATTAACAAGAATATAACGTTAGATCGCCAAATAAAAGAATCTGATGAGTTGGAATTTGCAGTACAAAAGCTAACGGCTATAATACAAAACGCTGCTTGTGAATCTATTCCTTTAAGTAAAAAGGATAATCCTGAATACGACAATATGCCATAACATATTAAACAAATTCTAACCGAAAAAAAGGAGAGCGCGTGCAAAATCCAAAGGTAAAGGTTCCGATATCCACTCGATAAGACATAGCTTAATAGATTAACACACCAGCTAACGTCAGCGCTAAATCAAGCTCGTAATGACACCTTCAATTTTTATAATAACAATATCTCTCCAGGGGCCTTATTCTTGAATCGAGATAAAATTTTACTCCTCACTAAGCTAACTCGCTTTTCTATGCCATCATAATTTCTCTCGATTTTAAAAAGCTGTATTGAATACGGGGAGTAGAAAGGAATGAGAGAAACTATGAACAGTGTTGCCGGGTTTTCAATGAAAATTTTAACTAATCACAAGAGTTAAATATTGACAAATGACAAGATACTGTCAACCGTCAACCTGATCACTCCCCTTAGTGGTGGACCAACCTGCGTTTTTTGTGTAGCTGTGACAAAATGTGACTGCTCCAGTATTGTCACGGTGACAAAAAGCAGTGATTTTTTGAAGCAGTTTAATCTTAAATGCTACCCTGCTACTATTGCTACCTTTAAATATTCCAAAATATATTTTAAAATTTGTAAAAATTTTCTATCTGACAAAAGAAATGGGTCCGTAGGTTGGAGAACATCCCGGCCAATTTAAAGATCTTCAACTGCCTCTAAAACATCATTAAATATAATATAATTTCAGTAGAGCATATGATTGATATCCATCTTTTATTAACTTCCGCCTTTTTAAAAAACAAAATACTTTCCTAGGTTTTTGAAAGGTTTTGTATTGTTATTTTCGCTCCCATTGTCACTTTCTCTTGCAATTTCTACTCCCTGAAATTCAAGAATAAGGGCACAGATGACCACTCTATATGGAGAGCAACTAAAATATTTAAGAAACCGATACTACTAATTCCTCCAATAAGAAAACCTGATAGAAGTTTGGCGCAGACTGAAAATGAAAAAGGTAATGTGTTTTTATAATATTTAGCATAATAAAATCATTCTCCCCATTCGAGGTTCGTAGAATAATAATGAGTACCAACTCTCACAAAGCTCCATGATACGATTTAATAAATGGGAGAATCCTAAAACATCTACTCAGGAAAGCAGTTAATCTTTGTTCCAATCCAGTGGAAATATGCTAATATTATTATTAACCTTGATGTCCAAAGTATTTGAAAGACTCCTGCTAGATAAAACAAGCAAACCTGAACTACTTAAAAATATAATACCCGAACATCAGTTTGGTTTCCGTCAAAAATATTCAACAATCCAACAGTATCATAAATTGTAAATAAAATCAAAAAAAGTTTGGAAGAAAGAACTATGTGTGCCTCAGTATATCTCGATATTCAGAAGGCTTCTAATAAAGTCTGGCTCAACGGTTTGCTATATAAATTAAAATCTTTATTGCCTAGCTATATGTACCTTACTCTGAAGTCCTATATCAACGAACGTTCGTTCTAACTAAAAATCAATAATGATTTCTCAACCTATTACTTAATCCAATCCGGAGTTCCTCAGGAAAGTGTCCTCGGTCCTTTCCTGTACCTAATCTTTGCTGCTGACATACCTATTACAGATGAAGTTACAGTGGCAACTTTTGTCGAATATACAGCCGTTTTAGTTACAAACAAAGACCCAGACATAGCATCTATCATTTTGCAATAAAAAAAATACAATGCCCCCATTCCTGCTAGAGACGTTGTGAAATATCTTGCATTTGGCCCGAAAGCTGAACTGGAAGCAACACATTAATGCCAAAAAATTTCAGCTTAATATAAAATTAAAACAAATGAATTGGTTACTTGGCAGAAAGTCACAACTGTCATTGGAGAACAAAACACTGCTTTACAAAGTCATACTAAAACCAATATGGACTTACGGCGTATACCTCTCGGTCTGTAGCAAGCCTTCAAAAATTTTGCGAACCTTCGAATCAAAAACACTGCGTATAGTAGAAGTAGCAGTAGAAACCGGAAAATATGTTATATCACTTCATGCAACAAGGTCATAATTCTTAATTAAACGCACCACAGCCAAATTATCAGTGAACTATATCAGGCAAAAAATGGAGGAATGAAGACTGGAGAGGACTTGGCCAGAAGACCTGGTTACATAGGTAAAAATTGAGATTTGTCGCTGGACGTTACCCAAATCAAGTGAATATTGTCATCACATTTACTAGTTACAAAATGTACTGTAAGGTTAGATTGTAAATATGCATTTAAAATTGAATAATAAAGTAAAAATCTAAGTACATAGTAAAAGTAACTATAATAAATAATGCAATTGATATACCTTTAAAAAAATGATATCAGGTACTCGAAAACTACATACACGTACTTTCACCTTAGTAAAATACTAACTTTTATCATTAAAAAACGTGTCTAAATATGTAAAATATAATAATTGATAATGTAACTTGATTTTTTTATCTGCAAAATAACAGACCGGTTGAACGGAATTAACTAAAAAAGTTTTTAAATCTGTTCTTTATAGCTATTTGGTTAAGTTGTTATTAACATAAGATAAGGTGCTATTATCATATAAGAGGTTCGTGTTACGTATTTAAATGTAAATAGATATATTATAAATATTTATATCGGATAGTGTTAGATATGAATTAAAATATTTTAATCAACTGAACAGTTTGTACTCATATGTTGCATGGTATTTATAAAGAATTATTACTTAATCTTCCACGAGGAAACTAAGTTCCTGTAGCTGGCTGTATACCATATATCACAAAAAAATTTTGTTTAAAATCCTTTATAAAAGGTATATAAAAATGCCTCAAACGGGCTATCACAAACACATTGCAAAACGTTTTCGGATTAAACAATCCATCATCAGTGCAAACGGATGTACATGCTAGTAGCCACCAAAATATATAGGTAAAAACCCTTTAAATGTTTTAAATTTGAAGTTGTTTTACATTATTAGTATTTATAATTTGTGATGGTTAAGTTACCGTTGGATAGGTAACATGGCGGCGTATGACTCTACATGAGTAAAATGGTCCTGAGACGAAGTGTCTACGAGGACCTGTTGATAACAGGTTGTTGTTATCAACAGGTCCTCGTAGATCACTCTCGATTACAGGCGGAGTCCCATGCATCCGATTTCCAACGACACGATGATCCGAAAGTATTCTCATTGGTCAGAATCGAATGAGAATATTGTTTCGCCGAATTTCATCCGAAATTTTTAACTACGCTTCCGACATCGGATAAAGATAAAATTATTTTAACTTTTTCCAACAAAACGGATGTTTTGTAACCTAATTGTATTCCAATAGTTTAACATCTGTACATTTAATTTATTGAAACATGAATTTTAATCGAAGAAGCTATGTTCTTTAATAAAACGCTATTATTATGTCTGCTTCTTTTAATTTGCAAAAAAAAACAAAACATACAATTCGACAAAGAAAATATTGGGTTAGTTAAACATTTCAGTAAAAAAAGTCACAAGGGGCTTTTAATAATATATTGCACTTTTGAATGAAGCTAAATGATGTTGATAAATATTTGCAATTACATTAAAATGCACATTTCATAAGTTACACATATTACACATTTCATAAGTTACATATAGTTTCTTCTTCGTTATCCATAATAAACTGAGTAATAGAAAGCAGGAGAAGGGATTATATACCATGCGGAAATAATCCCTTCTGCTGTTTTACTAAGCAAAAGTGGTAAAACAGCAATTACCAGCCAAACCACCAAACATCCAAAGAATAAACAAAAAATTGACAGTTAACAGTTTATACGGATTTTCGTATCCGACAATCGCATCCATGTGACTAGCTTCCAAATAGCAACTACGAAACCATACGATTTTCGTATGTCGGATGTCGGAAATCGGATACATGGTACTCCGCCCACCTCGAAGATACAATTGGAATTTGTTGTTCGACTCGAGAACCAGACCACAAACAACTAGCTCAAGACCGTCGCGTCGGTGCAATTTTTCGCAATAATTTAAGGTATTCTGTTTTATCATTAAGAATATACCAAAACAATAAACATCTTGTCATTGAATGTTATTATTTGTTTTTTTTTCTGGACATTGTTCAAATTTTCTTCTAGTATCCGGACCCCACATAAAATTACTTGCCGAAATTGTTTGTGTCCTTATTTAAAAAATTATACAAAACGCCAAGATAATTTTTTCAATATAAATATGCGCTGTTTAAACATTAATTTAAATATACAGGGTGATTCACACAAGTCTAGCATAGTCCAAATCTTTATTTTTAATAAACACACCCCTATATTCTTACATTTTAAAAAGCTTCTTAACCGAATATCAACGATAATATTTTATATAAGATCTATCATGGGGGAAATTTTTAAATTATACAGTGCTAAAACCACTTATTAAGTAAAATTATTTGTGTTCTTATTTTAAAAAATTATGAACCACACTGGGACCTGTCAATGTTACATTTAAATTTGCGATTTGTAAACATAAATTTAAATGTACACAGTAATTCGTACCAGTCTAGCATAGTATCATGAATAAATCATCAGATGCAATAAATCATGCATTTTTCGGAACCAAAGTATTCATCGATGCCTTTGGTTTTCCTTGTGATTATTGCAAGTTGGTATTGTGTAGAAATTGTTGCAATGTAAGTGCTACAGAAATCAGAACAATAGTGATGCCAAGTAAAATAATACCATATGTTTGCAAGGATTTTACTCCCAAAAATTAAGAATTTGATTGAGCTCTCAGTATGAGTAGATCCTTTGGAGACCGAAGTTGCATCCATAAAGGATACAACTAAGCAGGCCATTCACAATATAGAATAAATAAAGTCCCTTCGAAGGGAGCTGGACTCTTGGAATGGTTCTTTTTAGGTAAGCTATAAAGAACTTAAATCTGATATTCGATCTGAAATATCCAATCTGAACAATATAAGAATGACTCAAACAACTTGTTTCATGGAACAAAACACAACATACCAATCAGTGATTAGCAAAATGATCAAAAGGGAAAAAAGTTCCAACAACATTATAATTTTTAATCTGCCTGAGTATAGTAAGGATGACTATTTAAACAAAGCCAGATCCATTTTATCTGGATTAATGAACTCAGCCATTGATATTGTTGAGGTTGCACGAATTGGAAAAAAGAAGAAAAATGAATACCATTCATATAGAATTGTCCTTCGTAACCATCATGACTATTTGTCAAAACTCAGAAATAGAAGAAATATTGACAGGTCATTAAAGATTTTTATCGATTCAAATCTCACCCCACACCAGACAACTGCATTAAACACTATCAAGAGTGAACTTAAGGAAAGAGAGAACGGTGAACAAAATCTATTTATTAGGTGCTTAATGAATCTCTAGAATAATGACAAAAAACTAACACAGTCTTCACCTGGCGTATGGGTTCATTTTTAAAATATAGGAGGTCTAAGAACCAAGCTTAACAGTTTATTTATCAATGTATTCTATTCTCATTACAGTAATATTATATTAAACGAAACTTGGTTGACATATAATTATGTCAATGAAGATCTGCAGTTGTTTGACCTCAACACATAAGAAACTGATCACTCCAGAAAACAAGTTTATTCTCAAGAGGTGGTGAGTCTCTATTACAGTTCATAAGAACTTTAGCAGTAGATCTTTAACAGTTAACCAGACAATCGAACAGTGTCCAGGACAGATGAAGCTCTTTTGAGGGAGGTTATGCACTACTCAGCCTTGGAATTTGAGATTAAGATGACCAAAAGGTACCCCAATAATAGAAGTTTGGTTAGTGATGGTTTCTATATAGACTTTAAGTAGGCTGACTATGTAAAAATAAGTGATGTTTATCACAGTTCTGTTGGAATAATTTATTTTTAGAAAAACCACTTAATTACATTGTGAATATTTTTTTTGACATAGTTAACTTAGCTAAGAAATTATTTATCTCCCTAAAAAAGTATTCAAAACGTAGATTCGCTTTTTGGTTCTCTTGAAGAGAGTTAAAGGACCTGATAGTTGAGAAAAAGAAGGATCACAAAAAATATCTTTTATCTAAATCACTTTTGAATTATCGCACTTTTTCACAGCTGAGAGCCAACTGTAAATTATTAAAAGCTGAAGGCGACAAAAATAATATTTATTTAACATAATTATCACTAGGAAATAATTTAAATGAATTTTGGTAGTTTGTGAATTCACAGAGGGGAAAGCTTTATTTCTCTCTCTATTTCAATCAAATATGTGACATATCCAGTGATTCACCTTCACCTGGTCTTGCAAACTTGACTGGTTTCAACATAACTGTATCTGGTATTTATTTAAAATTATCAGAACTGGATGTAAATAACGGTCCTGGTCCTGAGGGATTGCCTTCCAACTTTCGCAAGAATTATTGTTTATTTATATTATATAGACCTCTTTTTTGCATTTTTAATCTATCCATAAATAAGGGTAAATTTCCAGAAGAGAGGGGCTGTAGAGTATATGAACTATACACTGATTTTTCCAAGGCCTTTGATTGGGTCAACCATCATATTTTAATAGTTAAACTTAAAAAAATGGGCGTTGATGGGCCACTTCATAGATTACTGAGAACATACTTAATTAACAGATTTCAGATGGTGCGTATCATGGATTTTTGTTTCTAGTTAGATTAAGGTTCATTCAGGAGTACTCCAGGGTTCTCATTTGAGATCCCTCTTATTTAATATATTCATCAATAATATACACCACTACTTCCAGCACAGTTCACCTCTTCTTTATTCGGATGATCTAAAGTTTTACACAATTACCAATAATACAGAAGATTGTGTTAATCTTCAACACGATCTCAAGAGGTTGAGTGAGTGATGTGTGTTAAATACCATGGCCCTGAAGGCATCCAAGTGTCATGCTGTTTATTTTGGACGATCGAGAAACTAAATGGAATATTATTTTAATAAACAAAACATTTGAAGCTATTTTCTTGTGGCATTGTAAATTAATTACTATTTATAACTGGGAATAAGCCACAATTAAAGATAAAAATACGTTTATTGACGTTTCAATTTCCAATTCGGAAATCGTTCTCAAAATACAAACAGTAAATTAAACAAATTTTGTTTTTTGTTACATAGTGAAAAAATTCTTCTAATAATTTAATTTTATCTGACTCATTTATATTGACAATTCAGACATACATTATGCATTTTAAAGTAGACGACTTTAAAATGATATTGTCAATATTGTTGAGTTGCGCTCCTGGGACGACTTTACTTATAAGATAGTTCATTCGATTACATGAAATCAACTTTAACTTGAGAATATCCCTCAGAAAAAATCATACCATGTAATTCGTCTTTAAAAAGACAAACACATTACATGATGACAGTAAAATTCTCCTGTTAGTGATTTCATAGTAAATTATGAGGGAAAAACCAGGAAAAAAAACCTCATAATACTATCCCGACATTGTAAGTATTT